CGAACTACAGCAACCTGAGGCTGACAGCTTTGTGGAAGCAGCCACTTAAACAACTGAGCTAAGGCCAGGCCCCCCCCCCTTTTTTTTTTAAGGACAAGGTCTACAGGGTCTCGCTACAGGGTCTCACTAGGTAGACTGGACTCATAGTGATTCTCCTGTTTTCAGACTCCCAGGCGCATGACACCACGCTCAGTCTCCATTGCTGTCTCAAGGAGCCCTCCGGGCAGGACCTGCATGGCACATGGCGAATGGAAGCCTAGCCACTGCGCTCTGCCCAAGTGGGTACTCTAGTCTGCTGAGCTATCTTATTATATTATTTTTGTCTGGGACAGTCTCACTATGCAGTTCAGGCTGGTCTTGAGCTCACTCTGTATCCCAAGCTGGTCTTGAACTTGCAGTGATCTTCGTGCCTCTCCCCATTGAGTGCTGGGATTACAGGTGTGCATCACCATGGTTGGCTGCATTTGATCTTATTAACAACTTATTAACAAGAGTTTTGCTCATCACATTATTTATCTTCCAGAAATAGAATCTTCAGTCTTGGATGTGAGAGGGTCAAAATGAAGTTTTGCACTGTGATACACACACATACACAAAAACACACAACTGTCTTTCATTCCAGCATTCTTTAACACATTCTTTCATATATATTTTCATTTCTAAGTCTTAATCATGAAGGGAAATTTCAAAATATATACACCACTATTTTGTTTTAAGTCAACATTTGAATTGAGTGGAAAAGATCAGCCAAGGGTATATTGGAGCTTTCAGAAAACAAAACTAAGGGGCCAGTGAGATAGCTCAGCAGACTAAGTACCTGCTTAGGTAGGCTCAGCGATTGGGGTTCAATCCCTAGGACCACCTGCTACACTGAACCTGCCCTCAGGCATGCTGAGCCACTCACTGAGGCCAGGCGTGGTGGCACATGCTTATAATTCTAGTGCTGGGAAGACTGAAAACCTCTCTCTATTCTTGAAGCAGTCGTTTCTTGCTTCATTTACTCAGTATTTCCAAAGGCATATCATCTACAAAATGTAAAGGCATATATCTGCAGGAGGATTGTTGTGAGTTCGAGGCCAGTCTGGGTTACACAGTGAGTGCAAGGCCAATCTGACCTGCATAACAAGAGCATGTCTAAAATCAAACAAACAAAAGACTATTAACATTGCACTGTGGCCTAGTAACCTATAATCACAGGTAATCCCAACATTTGCTCTCTCAACTGTCCAAATGCTATCACAGAAATTATGCCCCATGAAACGTCAAGCTAAGTATAAAAGCTACTCTATTAACCAGTGTTTAAAATGTATAGATTGTTCAAGTAATGAGATAGGAGAACAAGGCATCGCAAAGCTGAGGAAATAGGAATGACCTATTAATTTTAAGATCTCAGACATATGCCCAGAAGTTCCCAAAGCCCTGCACATGGACTTCTCCTGAGAAATCAAGCAGTTTTTCAATAGGATGGCCTAGACCTGATATCAGCCTGAGGCATGAAATCCTAGCACTGCCTCTTTGGACCCATACACAGAAGTTTTCATGGAGATACAGACAGCGTAAAACGAGAGGCACAACAAGAACTTGCTATGGTAGTTCTTCAAAATGACCTACTTTGCTTCTCCAGGGTGTTCTCTTTCCCTTTACTTGGCCTGAGCTCACTCTACACATTCGGTTTCTCACCCACTCTTCACTTTTACTTCCTCAAAGAAACTCTGTCACTGTTTTTTTGCTCACTTTGTTCAAGTCTTTGTTGGAGATGAGAAGAATCTAGAAACTAACTCCAGAAAGACAGGCAAGCAGCCCAGACAGGATAATGTTTAGTAGGTGAGCCACTTTTATAAGCAGGTAGCTGGGTAACAGTAATAGAAAAGAGACAGTGATTTTTTTTTAAACATTTATTTATTTATTGTGTGTGTGTGTGTGTGTGTGTGGCCAGCTCAGCCCACCAGGGGGCGGGGCTGGCTGGCATGTGGTGCTGGGGGATGGAACTGCAGTCCCTGTGCTTTGCCAAGCTTGTTCCAAGTAGGTGCTTTAGACCACTGAGCCATCTCGCCAGCCCAAGACAGTGATGTTGAGAAACATCTATTTAGCCAAAAAGAGATATATTTTGGCAGAGAAGAAGGAAATTAAAGAAAGTGAGCAATGATTACATGAAAATTAGTAAAACACTACAAGGTCTAATGTTTGAAATCTGTGAAAGAAAAAAGAAAACAACCCCATAAGAAACAAAGATTATATCTAAGACAGAAGAGAAGTGAACACAATACAGTAACAGTTGACTTAATGCAGGAAACATTAAGGGATCTCATGAGAGACCTAGTCTCAGTAGAACAGGAGTAAGATCTTCAGGCAAAGGTGAATGTTATTAATGGTAAATGAGATAGTACTATTATAGGTAACTAAGATAAACATAAGTTAATAGGCAGTCAGGCTAGTCCTCAAGAGAGTCAGTACAGAAAATGAGAACACAAAAAACTGTGGTTAGAGCCAGGCACAATGGCAAATGCGTGTAATCCTAGCACTGGGGAGGCTGAGGCAGGAGGATCACTTCGGATTCAGGCCAGCCTGGGTTACAAAGTGAGTTCAAGGCCAGCCTGACTGCACAGTGACACCCTGTCTCAAATAGACAAAAAAACAAAACAAAAGAAACCTATGGTTAGAGGAGTAACTGAAAAAAGCAAGACCTTGAGATTAAAGATCCCAATGGCCAGATTTATATACTTTGCTAAGTGATAAAGAGAAGTTTAAAAAAAAAAAAAAGCCTGAGGTTGTGCTGTAACTGATATCACCCTTTTCCCACTGAAATAGACCATTATCTCGGTAAGGATGGGCCATCCTCTCCTACCCACTAGGACAAAAGTGGCTAAGACTGAAACTAAAGATTAAAACTGTAAATTATCAACCAAGATTAATGATGTCATCCATGTACCCTTGCTACATGCTCAGCTTCAATATTTCATCACTATCAGCTAATCCTTATAATTATAGATACATTTGTAATCTTACTGGTTGATTATAATTTCACTCACATTGTATCCACCTCATGACTTTGCCCTATAAAACCCAAGAGATGATCTCAGCAGCAACCCAATGGGAACCTTTCTTGTCTCTCAAGAGCTATTCCTTTCCCATTCCTATTCTTCAGCTCCCAACTATGTGTGACCCATTCCTTTGAGCACTTGCACTCCCCTCTTGAATGCATTCATTCTCTCTCTGTATCTTTCTCTCTCTCTCTTTCTCTCTCTCAGTAAGTGTTTCTTACTCTCAACCTCACTGTTCTTTGGAATTCATGCTATGATTTCAGAGAACACAAATTCGACACATCAGGTTGAGAGTTGCATCTACTTTATCAGTACCACTGGATTTTCAAGACACATAGTACCATTCAGAAGAAAAGCAGCATCTATTTAATATTAGTAGATATATATACACTCTATAAGAGAACAATCACAAGATGTGCTGGGGTAAATAGGAAAGTGAGGTACAGTATATCTGCTGAAAGTAAGAATTTTATAAAAATTAGCTTCTAGTATGGGAAAATGTTAAATTTGAAGGACTGGTAAAAAGGTGTTCATTATCCTACTACTGTCTGTACATCTGTATGCCTTTGAGAATGTTTATAATGAGATGGTTTTAAAAATTGCCTCGTCTCCAAAGAATCTTAAAAATTGCCTAGTTTCCATACCATCTCAAAAAGGCAATTAGACACAGATAAATACACACTAAAGTACTATAAAAGCCATTGAAAAAGAAGTTAAATAATTCTGTGTGATCAGAATTTGTAGTTCTTTTCACCGGGTTTGTTCTAGAGAGTGAGAGATACAAGCATTACAGTTAGACTACTAGGTGTTTTAGGAATAAAATAAAGCCAACAGATGAAAGCTGTGAGGAAAAGCACTTCTACTATGAGCCCAAAGGTTTCAAACACTTACTTCATCTCCAGAACTTCCTCTAAGTGTTTCCTTCTCTCTGCTCGAAGATTAGTCAAATGAGTTTCCTTTTCTGCCAGAGACTGCTGGGTAGAAGATAGCTTTGCTTTCATGGACTCTAGCTCCTGTCTTACTTTTTCCATGGCAATCAACAGCTCTTCCACCTATGACAAGTATGGTAGAGAGAAAAAGAAAATATTCTGATCAATTAATGTCAGAGTAAGTGGGTCATGGGGAAGTTGTAGATCCAAAAACACTGAGGATACTCTCCAGAAGAACACACAGAAATTTGTGTATTTTTCCTGGGGCATGCGTATATGTCAAGAAAATATAGCAGATAAAGATATCCCAACATAATTCTTTTCAGTTTATGCCAGAAAAAAAAATACATATATGTATTAGTTTGTTGGCAAGGGCATATAAGTTATACAGTTCAAGAAGTTATACTCTGCCATATATAACCCAGTTTATAGATTTTTGCTTGGAAATGGTTTAGAAATTACCATGCATATCACACAAAGTACAGATAGAATAAAAACATAATATATATTTATATAATTTTTAGGAAATAAAGTGCATGAACTTGGCTAATAGCTTCAACACAAAAAATATTTTTAAAATATACATAATTTTATTACAAACGCCTTTTAAAAACACAAAATGCTGCATCCTAAAAACCGCAAAACTTACTACTTCCTGCAAATTTGTTGTGCAATAGGTATCTTTTTTTAAATGCAGGCAAGAAAAAGCAAAACATATGATCAGACAGAAATAACACAGAATGCTTTAAAAAGACCTGAAGAATACCCTTGATAGGTGTAGACCTGAAAAAAAAACAAAAATTTACCCAAAGTAAAAATAAGGACAATGTAAAAACAGCAGAAAGAAACCAAGGTAGCAACAAAGTATGTAGTTATTTCTACTTTATCAAGTCAAAATTATTTAAACAATCATGTTCATTTTAAGTCAGAAAACAATGCTGACAAAAACATGTTACCACCAAAATGTAACCCAGCCAGGTAAGCACACAGCCAACTGTACCAAGCACAATAATGTTTATCAGGATGCTGCTTGCCAAGAAATAATCTTGGTGACAGCAATGCTTTTCAGAAGTAGAGGTCACACAGACAGCAGTAGGGCATCTGGTACTCGGTGCTCCTACATTTCTGTGTCTGATACTCCAGATACAGAGCTACAATATGACATGCAGAGTTGTTCCCAAATACACAGAAAGCAGAGACTAATATCCATGTCTTATGTTGCTTGGTATCAGCTGTTAACACTAGCAGCAGTTTTTTAGTTTTTGACACCTGCTTACTTTACAGAAATGATCACAACCCAAATTTCTGTATGAATTTAGTTATGTGGGTCTCTTTTGACAAGTATTCACATCTGCAAGTTTTATAAGAATATACAAAAATATCTGCCATTCTGAGAATTTGTGATTCTATTTTATTGACTTCATTTATGTAACATCTTATCTAAAACTGAGTACAAACACTACATCAAAGTTCTTACAACAACACAAATTCAGCAGTGCAAAAGGCACTCTAAAACATGAAACATGGTGGTGCACACCAGTAATCTCAGCACCTGGAATGCTGAGGCAAGAAGGTCACCAAGAATTCACCAGCCTGAGGTAAGTAGTAATTTCAAGGTCAGCCTGAACTGCTGGTGAAACTCTATCTCAAAACAAACAAGTAAACAAACAAACAAGGTCATGCAATACAAGATATGTATGGAATTTCCTTACATGGCTTACTGACAGTTAAAAGAGGTCTCAATTATTCATTCATTTATGGTAACATAAACCCATACCTTGTAATGTCTCCCTATTGATGGATGGCCTTTAACTATGCCCAGGCTGTGTATTTTGCTTTGTTTTTTGTTTGTTTTTGTTTTTTAGTGGTGCTGGGGATTGAGCTCCGGACCTTGAGCTTGCCAGGCATGCACTTAAACCACTGAGCTACATCCCCAGCCCCTGCTTTGGGGAATGAGATTTTAGCTTATCTGGATAGAAGCTGAGGCTTAAAATCTGCATACCTGGGTTGCATTTCTGCCAGTGCCAAAAGAGCAACATACAAAGTAGCTGTTGCCTCTGATCTGTGTCCTAGGATGAGCCATGTGGAGCAAAGGCACTTCTATTTTTTTGGAATTGTTTTACTAAGACCGAAATTATTTCCCATAAGTTTACTAAAAGTCACCAATATAAATCTCTAGGCTTGAAATTTATGGGGAAAGTTTTTATTACTGACTCATATTTTCAGTGTTTTGTTTTTTTTTTTTTTCATATTTAGATGGTTCTGCTAAATCCCCTTTTTCTTGCCATTTGGTCATTTAGTCTAAATTTTCAAATTTACCAGCAAAAAGGAATCATTGGTATCTTTTTTTAACCTCTTCATGACTAGTAGTTATGAACATGTAAACATCCTAAAAGTTGTTCATTGTGTGTCTTCCCCCCTTCCCCCCTTTATAACTTCACAAAAGGATAGTCAATTTTCTTTGTTTTCAAAGACCCAATTTTGGGCTTTGTGGATCATTTTTAAAAAGAGTCTTGGTTGCCTACTGCTTCTTCCTAGGTGACCCCTGATCTTCTCTTCTGTCCTGCCAAGACAAAAACTCAATATTCAACAGACTACCAAGCACTTATCTTTGAATACCCTGCCTATTCACCCCCTAATCTGAATACAGTATTTTTTGCCACCTTATAAATGCATATTTTATCAAACATCTTCAATAGTTTCTATGAAAATTTTCTTAGCAACTAGTTTGCAATATTTAAAGATAAGTAGGGCCAGTGAGATAGCTCAGCAGACTAAGCATCTGCTTAGGCAAGCTCAGGGACCGGGGTTCGATCCTCCGTACCACATGCTGTGCCGGCCCTACTGAGCAGGTGACCAAGTCTGGGCATGGTGGCACACGCCTGTAAACCCAACGCTGGGGAGGCTGAAAACAGGAAGATCACAAGGAGTGTGAGCTGCATAGTGAGACCCTGTACCACATACATAAAATTAAAAAAAAAAAAAGGTAAGTGTTACTTTTCATTCAGAACTTAAATTTTTACTTTTTTTGTGGTGTTGAGAATCAAACTCAGGACCTTATGCACATAAACTTAAAAGTTCTGTATTAGTATACTTTTCTAAAATATAGTTTAATTTTCTCATTTGAGTGACAGATCCATAAGATATCTGCCTCAGATTACACAGAGGTCCAAATAAATTTCAAAGCATTTTAGTATTCAAGGCAAAAATGTACCATAAACAAGGATTTTCCAACTAATCACCTGATTTGCTCTCTGGCTCCACACCAGGAAAACAGTTTTAAAGTCAATTAGAATTACTTCATTTTTTGCAACTGAAGAGAACATATTCAGCTAGCATTATTTGGACAATATTCCATGACACGTCTACCACAAAGCAGCTGATGGTTAACACTGAGTATCTTTACTGAGAAAGAAGGTAATGAAAGTTAGATAGAAGAGATAAATTTTAAACTAAACAGAGAAATTCCGCATAATTTAAAAATACGCTCCAAGGCACAGCACAATTTTTAAAAGCAGAAATTGTAAGATAGGGGGGAAAAATAGCAGCTTTGGCTGAAGCTGAGAATCAAGAATGTAACTTAACTGCCTCCAGTAACATATTAAGGAGAAAGCACAGGCTTGGCAATGTGTAGTGCCAGCAGGAACAGATGGTTTGCTTAAATCACAAGCTAATAAACTTTTATTCAGAATAAAAAGGGAACAAATTATGACTCTACTACAGACCTATTTTCCTTAAGAAAGCAAAGCAATGGGGTGCTTCAGGTGCTGGCAAAGGCTGTACCTTCAATTCCCACACCATTCTGTTTCCTAACAGAGAACAATGTACATATTGTGGCTTCTATGATGCTTATGGAAATTTGTGTTACAATTTTTTGAAAAGCAAGGATTCTAAATCATCAAAAGAAGACGATTAGAAGAAAAAAAAGAAACAGTACCATAAACAAGATTATCTTGAGGTTAACCAATCATGATGTAAGCCAGATACTCACTAGAGAAGTCCTCTAGTTTTCTTCATTTAACCTACCCTGTTTTATCCCTTCCCCCGCAAACACTACACAACATCTTCTAAAGTACTGGTCACACACACACACACACACACACACACACAGACACACACACACACTCGTCTCTTAACTCCTTTCAGTATTTTATAATGACTCATAATGAAAATTTAAATTTCATTTTCTAACAAAAAATCTTTTTTTCCAATCCAGATGTTCCTCATTTAATGACATACCTATTTAACAACTGTTTGGACTTAAAACTGAGGGGTGCTGTTTAGACTTATGACTCGTCTTTTGTATACAGTTCTTTACATCTTGTTTATAGAGCTTCAATGTCTTTTTTTTTTTTTACACAGTAGACCTTGTTTATACACTACTGCAATTTTGGCTGACTGTTCAGTGCAATGCTATAGTTTTATATTTTGTTATACATTATAGTCCTGCATGTAAAAGTTATGCAAATAAGACAAAATCATGAAGCTGCAATTTCCTTTGACCATTTCTTTGTTTTGAATGTTGTAATGTATACATACTATACACATTTTGTGACCAATTCAATTAATGATCTACTTTCAAAAACAGAACTCAGGTGTTAAACAGAAAACGTCTGTATTTTCTTTTTGCTAGTGTATTATTGTAATTCTCTGACAACATATAATCAAAAGTACAATACCTTATGTATATGGAATAACTATACCTTTGGCAGTAAAAATAATAATGCATTATCTGACTACTTTGAAAATCACTGTTCTCCAAGTGCTTTAAATGTGTTGTCTCACTAAAAGCAATGATCCTATGACATGGGTAATAGGTATTATTATTTATTTATGGAACTAGAAATAGAACTTGTCAAAGTCATATGGCCAAAGAAAAAAAGCTATGAGTCCAACCTTGGGAGCTCACTTTTTGCATTCATAATTAATACTGTTTTCCTACAATGCATTACCATGTTCAATGAATCATTCTGAAAACACTTTACACAGTCATATCTAATGAGTCCTTCTGGGAAGTATTCCATACTCACTGATGCCTTTCAATATTTCATTTCTTTCCCTTTTCTCTTACATCTTTAATATTGAACTCCTACCATGTGCTACATAATAAGTGCTATTTACTG